CCCCCCCGCGACCCTAATGAGGATTAAGCGGTGTATAGAAAATGGATGGATGGACTCTAATTCCAAGGCTTCCTATCTTGTGGTCACTGGGACAATGATATGACATACATAGAAACAAAGATTCTACCATGTCTCAAGCACAGTGTCTCTCATTTCCTATTTTCCTCTGAAATAACTTGAAAGGAGTGCAGCTATCAAATTAAAATCTGAAGATGGGTGAGACAAGGTTGTTAAAGTTTTTAATTTTAAATTAAGTATGCTTTATTGGCATGAATATGATGTTGCCAGTAGTGCAAAAGAATCAAGGATGGTGTGATTTAAAAAAAAAATAAAATTAAGAAAGTGGTGTAGATTAAGGCAAGTGGAATAGGGAGGAACACAAGAATGGTATTGTTTTGAGATGAAACCAAAATGTTTTTAGTGGTAATACTGAATAGGTAACAGCCCTGCATTCCGTGGTTGCTGTTATTTATTTGATGTTTAAGATTAACTGAGTGGATCCCAAACTTCCCTACTATAGAGGGCGATTGGTAGGATTACAGTGTCAAATATCTTAATCCCAGTTCTAATTGGTGTGTCTATTTTGTACATTTTTCTCCGGTTTACAAACAATGCTCCACACGCCTTTAGTTCACTCCGCCTCTGACTCTCAGCGTGGCCCTAATAGTCTTTGTTATATCACACAAGTAGTGTGACACGTGTTATACGGAGACATTTGTGATGCCAGTTATGATTCTCCTGCTAACGAACCTGACGCTCGATGCTACCTGTTGACGCTCGGCGGCCGCGGACGTCATCCGGGGGAATTATGATTGGCAGCGCAGCGGACCAATCCAGACAGCGCCAGTGACAGATGTCGATCAGCCATTGACCACTGGGAGCGGGCGGGGGGCGGAGCTAAGGATGTGACGTGACGTCGCAGCCTCAGTAATGGCAAGTGACAGACAGTGAGGAAGACGAGGCGAAACTTTTGTAGCTGCTGTTGTTATTTCTGCTAATTTATCTTTGGCAGCAGCGGCGGCAGGACCGTGTTGTTTATACCGCGACAGGGATTTAGCGCCGTCGTCGTCGTCTAAGTGACCGTTTCTCGGTGGTGGTCGCTTGGTGTCGAAGTGACTCGAAACGCCAGAAGTTTGTTCGACTTCGAGTGAAATAAACAGTGGCCGCAGAGGAGAAACTATGACCAACAGAGAAGACGAGTATGACTACCTCTTCAAAGGTGAGTGGCTGCTTAGCTTCAAGCTAGTTAGCTCAGTCTTTCGCTTCACCTGTGAGCAAGTGTCACTCGATGCCGACTTGTCAACGGGCTGCCTGACAACAAGGTGGAGGACGACGCGAGTCCGAGACAAAGACACCTGCTCTGAGCTGCTCTCAGCGGGGAATAAAGTTTGGCCTTAAAGCCGAGAGACTGGACACTGAGAGGCAGTTTAGAGGACTCGTGTGTTTGAGGTTAAGCAGCATCTGTTGTACAGTCATCATGTTGCAGGCCGATGATGCAATCATGTTGGGATGCGGAGGTCATAAACTGTGACAGGACGACTGTTTAAACCGGCCTCCATCTTCAGAGGAGAGGAACCAGTTTGGGTTCTTAGTTTTGTACCTGTGTTAAAGCACAAAAGCATTTTTTGGGGGAAAAAATAACCTTTCAGGCTTGGTTTAATAATCACAGCACCTAGGTCATAATAAAGTTGATAACATGCTGTAGTATCTCTGTAGATATCCAGAAGCTTTGTCATATAATCTGCTCTAGTCATGATTTTGAGAATGCACAGTACAAATAAATAAGCACCAATATTTCAACTTTAAAGTTAAAATGTGTGTTTAAAAGTGGTACACTGTGTTCTGCCCTCTGAGGAAAAAAAACAAAAGAGGAGAATAGGAAATCTGATTAACCCTTGTGTTACATTGACATTGCCTGTACTTCCTTATTGTTCAAACCAACCACTATGCTTTTTCTAGGAATAATTCAATTTTTCCTTAAAATAGGTTGTGACTTTAGTAAAGTCTAAAGACAAGAAGAGAGACAACATATGGAAACCAGCCACCACCTTCCGTAGAGAAGAAACTGAATTATTAGGGTTTTTTTTTTAAGTTTCTAAAAGTACTATTTGGAAGCTCTTTGCAGTTACAGATTTTGATATTTGACTTGACCTAATAGTTACACCACTTAGTTTATAACAAGCTGTTAACATGCTCCGTCCGAATACCCAGCAACCTCATTTGAAAATAGTTTTGGGTAACATCTTTTTAATCAAAATTCTGCTTCATCAACATTTTTAGGAGTGCCTGACAAATAAATAAACACTAATATTTCATTTTTAAATGGTAAACTTTGAGCTGTGTAGTGGCACACAATGTCCTGCCCCCCTGAGGAAGAGAAAGAGGAGAATAGGAAATTTAATTTAACCTCATGTTGTGTTGACATTGCGTGTACTTCCTCATTGTTCAACCCCACCAGTGTTGAATGTGCAAGGAGTAATTTTAGATCGTTTTCCATAAAGTATGTTGTGACTTTAACAAAATCTAAACATAGAAAAAGAGACATTTGGCCTCCACCTTCCTCAGAGAAACCTCAGTGTGGATTATTAGTTTTGTACTTGTAAGAACTCTGTGAAAACACTTGGCTGCTGCAGATCTTTACTTTTTACCTTGATGTGATAACTACACAACTTAGGTAATATTAAAACGTTGGTAGTATGCTCTAGTATTTATAAACCTTATTGGAAAGTGCAGTTTGTAGTTTCACATAGCATCGTTTTGTAAATACAGCTCCATCAATAATTTGTGTGCCTGACAAGTAAATAAACAGCAATATTTCAGCTTTAAATGATAAAATTATGTGTAACATAGTGCTACACAATGTGTTCCCACCTGAGAAAGAGGAGGAGGGGAAATTTGATGACATTGGCTTTATTTCCTCATTGTTTGATTATAGTAATTTTAGAATCATTTTTCTTGAAAATATGTCAGCATAAAAAAAAGTGTGCCTTTGCCAAAAAAGTTTTGATGGCGACAACATATGAAAAAACATACAGAAATATTTCATGTTTTTCCATTGGATTTATTGTTTTTTCTACAAATTTAAAAAGTAAGTTGTTAATAGGCTGTATTGTCTATCTGATAAGTAAATAAACATTGATATGTATTACATGTTGACACAAAATGTCTTGCCCTCTAAGGAAGAAGTTTGTAGAATCCTTGTGTTTTGTTGACATTGGCTTTGCCTCTGCATTGTTTGACCCCCAGTTTTGCAAGGATATTATTCATTTCACAATAATTTTTATCTTAAATACGTCTTGCTTTTAATAAAATGTCACCATTAGAAAAGTGTGCACATCAGATAAAAAAGAAACACGTAGTTATAACGTCACTACTACATTATTTAAAGAAATACTTAATGTTTTTAAGGTTTGATTTATTATTTTAGCATCATAATGACAAAAAATGTGTTCATATATATATAGTTAAAATATGTATGACATCAGTCACTTAAAGGTATTAAAAGTTTTCCTGAGACTAGATATTTTCCCACAGTGTGCAGAAACACAAGCTACTGTAACTGGGGAGAGGTGGTCAATTATTTCCTTATGGATATCTGGTAAAAACAGGAGTTCAAAGTTGTTCCTTGTCATTCGCAAGTAGAACTGAAGCGCTCACGGTCTGTTCAAATGTAGATCACTAAACAAGCATGTGTTGTCAAACCGGAAATACCTGCATGAAGCGAGTGTGTGGCCACATAGAAGATGATTTATTCTCTCAGACACACCAACGTGGTTTCAGGTGACCAAATTTATCTGAATCATGTGCAGTAGTGCAAGGACGCTGATAAGGTATTGGCTGCCGTTAAACCAAGAAAATGTCACTGTGAGGGCTCTCCTTTGTTCTTACAATCTCCTTTTGTCCCGCGCTGTTGGTTAGCGTGAGTCAGGTTGGGTGAGTTCTCAGTGAGTCACAAACATTTTCCTACTGATGGAGACATTGGTTCAAGGAGTTTTCCTGCTGTCCCTTCGCACCGCCTTCCTTGGTCAATTTAATACTGTGTATGAGCCTCAATGGTGGCTTTTTTCTCCATCTCAAACTAACTGCTTCTCTTCTGGTCCCAGCAGGACATCTTTTTTCATTCACAACACATTTTAATTATCCAACCAAGTAAATTGTATGATATATTTTATCAAATGTTTTCAGTCTCAATGATGCATTTGATTCCATGAAATCAGCACTGATAAAAAAAAAAAAAAAAGTAATAATCCTGCAGAAATTGAAGGCTCTTCTTGAAGATAGCCTGCCTAAGTCGCTGCTTTAATTTCCCATAAATGGAAAAGAAGAAATCGGACATGTAGTAGCAATCTTTTACTCCATTTACTAGGATTCAGTGGATATCAGTATATCAATTAATCTCACTGAACAGACTGATGGACTCTCAGTATTACTTATTCTTCATTCCTTCATTCAGGCGAATCTACATCACCCGGTGCAAGACGGTATAACATAATAGAGGACTGTCGTATCTTTTTAGCTGCAGAATTTAAACTCAACAATAGGTGAGTGAATGGGTGTGTAATGCAGCCATGACATTACCTGTCTGATGGCTGAGCACGTAGAAAGGGTTACATAATGATTTTTGTCCTCCACCCAAGATCTTCTGTGCCAGATGAAATGGAGAACGAAGAATGACAGTGTTCACTTTTTCATGTGTTGGCGAGCCACATTGTTGGGATGTGTCGTCCCTAAATGCTTCTCTCGTTTACATGATTTCTAATTAAGCCAGGAAATCATGTACTCTTTTCTACTCTACGGTAACATTGGCAAACTTTTAACGCACAGTTTGCCTGTAGAAAGAGCAGCATTGCTTAAATGGGAGTGCAAACATGGCGGCCGGTTGGTTAATGCAGTTTCAACATTCCAAAACAAGTTCCTATTTCCTAAGAGCAGGGTGCTGTGCTGGTGTGGTAGGTTCCTTCTGACAGGGTGACTCACCTGACAATTGTGGAAGTAGTTTTCTGACAAACACTCCCACTTCAGTGCATTTTACAGTACTCTGAGATGAAAATATCGTGTTTGCTCTCACCTGTATGTCACTAAAGACCACTGGACTAATATGTATTTTCAACACTGATACTGATTATTAGGAGGCAGATAACCAACTAGAGGAAAAGGAAAATCTTAAGCGTCAAAATTTCCAATAACACAAAAACTCCGTTGAAATGCAGTGTTGTTGATTGTACGTTTCTCAGACAGAGAGCAGTAAGACGCAGCACATTTTTAATTAATTTGTTTGATGGGGAATTGCTTAAAAACAAAAACAAAACAAGGATACTAGTATTTGGAAAAATGCTCAATGTTGGATCCAGAAATTGGCTGATAATTGGTCAATCCCTTATAAAAACACAGCTTAAGTTTTTGTGAAAACTAACACAAAGCCTTGTCATTGTTTGGGATGTTTACAAATTTAGTTGACTTTCATGCTTTGTTTGGGAATTTGAAAATAATGGCCGTATAAATTAAAGCAATTTGCAACAGATTTAGATTGAAACTAAAGGGGCCGTGACAGTTGACAAAGCTGATTATTGACAATTATCTGCTCGCTGTGGCCGATGTAATACAAATGCTTAAAGAACCTTCATCATCTGTAGAATTGACCCTTAAAAACCCTTCTCCTCCTTTCAGTTGGCCCTCTTTGTCACTAATCATGGACTTATTTGGTGTCAAAAGGGCTCCTTGTCTTTGCAAAAATAACATTGGTTTTCTTTTGTTTCTTATGTGTTTTGCACAAGAGGTAGCTAAACCTGCACTGTCCAAAGTCCATGATGTTAGGCAGGTCTTGGAACATTTTGACAGTGAAAGTTACAGGGTTACAAACGTTATTTAAATCGTTTATACTGAAAAATATTAGTTTGATTTTGGACCATTTTTGACTTCATCATTTTAACTTCATTTGTAGCATCATTCAAGAAAGTTAGGGTGGGATTATGACTCCTCAGAACTAGTTCTTAGGACTGAAAAATGTCAATAGATGCTAATTTTCCCCAGAAAGACATTAATAGTTAGAGCTAGAAATAGATATACAGCACCGCCAGCACTGCTCTCACTGCTACAGTTATCCAGTGAGAATGTAGAAGTGCCAGTTTTGGGAAGGTATGATGAGTAACATGACCAAACCCTCTCTGATGTTGGAAAGAGGGGTTTCTGACATGCAGTTTAGTTTGTGAATAAAATAACTAAATAAATAAATAAAAAAACAGTTCCCTATTAGAATAACAAGCAACTTATGAGTGGAAAACAAACCGGCTGTAGATGAAGAGAGCAGGCAGTGCAGATGAACACATTTCTTCAAGTTCACATTCTGCTTGTTCAACAGGGGTTTGATAAATTTGTCTCTCTAAGCAGCAGGTTTTGTTGCACGTCGGGGTGACAGATATTGTTGACTTTGACTTAAATCTGTTTCGTTGTTCTCCTGCAAAGTCATGCTATGTCCACAGCGAGGAGCTCAGCTTCACCCTCCAGCAAACACTCAGCAACACAGAGAGCAAACTAGATGAGGGAAAAGCAGAAAAATCCCCACTCAGGACAGTTTTCAAGTGGCATCTGTTGTCGATAGCTATTATGAGACATAATTATCACCTTAAATTCTATTCTCCAAACAATAAATCATTTTCTTGATTATCGGCCAACGATGGGTCAGCCACCAACAGGTTATGCATCCCTAATGTTTAAACCAGTGATTTTTATTTTGGTTTTATGCAGTCAGGACAACTTACTAATACAGTTATTTCTGCATACACGTGGCCTATTCCTTTCAGCCCTTCACTGGTTCACTCATGTCTGTACTCTGCATGTATTTCCTTAAAAGAACAGGTGGATCTGGCATTGTGTATAGACTGGGAGTCCCCTGAGTTTCTGCTCTGTCTTGGCTGGCAGCCACATAAATTCTAATGGAAATGAGACTCAAATTTAATTAAAAAAAAAAAATTAGCCCATCTTGTTCAGTTTAACTTCTTTGTGGCATAATGGACTGTTACATCAAGTGTCTACTGTGTATTTATAGGCCACGGCCCTACACTGAGCTGCATGTAGCTGAAACACACCCTTCAAATATCATAGTTGACAGTAATTTAGTCTATTCTCCATGTGCATTTCTCGTTCTCCACTGAAAAATGAGATCCTGTTGTTGCAACAAGTCTGAAAACATTTGCTCGCAGGTTGAGTCAACAGTGCATCTTCTGACTGTGTTGGTTGTTGCTCTTTCTTGTTTCCTTTAGTGGTGCTGATTGGAGATTCGGGTGTAGGAAAGAGTAACCTGCTGTCCCGCTTCACCCGCAATGAGTTCAACTTGGAGAGCAAGAGCACCATTGGGGTGGAGTTTGCCACGCGCAGCATCCAGGTAGAGGGCAAGACCGTGAAGGCTCAGATCTGGGACACAGCCGGACAGGAGCGATACCGAGCAATCACTTCTGCGTGAGTTTATCACTGAAGCTTTGAGAAACACTGTTCTGTACAGATGTGGTTTCACACACAAGCGGAGACGTACACTTCACACTGCTCAGTTGAGAGGCTCCTAAACTGCATCCACCGTACATGTAAACAAACACAGAGGTCCATATGCATCAGTCAAAAGAAGCCTATCAATGGACAACATTTATATAAAGCACAGGAATGCAAAATGGCCTTGTTTGCTCCTTCATGCATATGTGTTGTGATTTCCCCCCCCCTAAAAACCATCATTCACAATCGCATAACATTTCACTGAATATAAGTAGTTCGTAGGATCTGAACCTCAAACCTGCGGCAGATTTGAAAGGTATTTTGTCTTGCCAAAATTACACCATTTATCACACAGAGAAACTGTGAAAACAGCAAGAATCATCAGATTTTCAATTTTAACAACGAACTGTTAACTACGCAACTTTCTTGTGTTTTGTAAATACTGACTGTAGGCCATCTATGTTTCGTTTATGTCTTGTTTGTTATAGGGGCACGTTTTATAAGACTTGTCTTCCTCGTGCTCCTATTCTGCCATGTTTTCTTGTTGTGATGTACAATACAATGGGTATGAAAAAATAAATAAAAACGTGGATGAATAAATAAATAAATGAAATGAAAATGAAATGTTTTGTTGGAGAACCTAATCCGATCTCACTAAATCCTTTGCACTCTTCAGCACAACCATGAAGCTACAAGTGGTTTAGCTGGTACCAACAGTCACGTGATAAAAATTCAGGGACTTTTTGGCTGAAGTGCAAGCTGTGTGTTCACACAGACCAGATAGGAGACCTGTATGGAGACAGATTAAAAAGTAGAATAAATTGACATTGATACTGACAGTTTGAAGAGCCACCATTGTTTTCAGTATTGATAACACCTGTCAACACTTGAATAAATGTTGCACATGTTGATTCCATTTTTTAAAAACCTTTGTAAAATGAATTATCAAGACTTCAAACTTTTTCTCTATTTTTATGATGTATGGCATTAGAACTGTGTCTTACTACACAAAACACATTTCTGACTTCTCTGTACTTCTAGTCATGGTTGTGTTGTTTCCATAAAGGTGCAGGACTTTATATTGCAGAGAAAAGTGACCCACAGAGAGGAAAAATGTGACAGTAACAAAAAAAAGTGCCCAGAAACTGGAGTTGAGATGGTTAAATGTCCTCCATCCCTGATTTAAGTTCAGAATCAGTCAGTTACTGTTTTGTCATTCCTAAAATAGCTAGAAAGTGATTAGCAGAGGTGATTAAAACTACCAAATGTACCTTTCTGTCTTGGGGTGCGACGGGTTTTGATAATCACAGCTTCCTTCTGTCTTTTAGTCAAGTTGTTGTCCCAACATTTGTCACTCTTCTTGAGTTTTCTTCCTTGATGTAGCACTCTGCGTACCAGCATGAACTGTGCTAAGACCCCACAGGCACTGACGAAATAGACAGCGAGCGCAGCCAGTCTTTAATTAAAAAAAGAAATGCCAGTCGGTGTTCATTTGTTGTTGTAGCCTCATGGTTAATTTCTTGTGTGTCAGAACTGGCCAAGTCCACACCCATAAAGAAATCAACAGGCTGCCGGAAGACCAACTTGTGTACTCCAATTTATCCTTTGTTCATCTGATCTCCTGTCATCCAGGTACTACCGTGGAGCAGTTGGAGCTTTGTTGGTTTACGACATTGCTAAGCACCTGACTTACGAAAATGCCGAGCGCTGGCTGAAGGAGCTGCAGGACCACGCAGACAGCAACATAGTCATCATGCTTGTGGGCAACAAAAGCGACCTGCGCCACCTAAGGGCAGTGCCCACAGACGAGGCCAAGGCCTTTGCAGGTACTGCCTCTCTAATGACACTATATGTATGTTTGCATGTACAACATGCATCCTGTATTGGCTCGTGAGGTTGTGTCAAAGCTGTGATATTGAGCATATGGCATTAAATGATCCCTTGCTGCTTTAACTAGCTCCTTAAGTACTTTATAACATGCCATATGTGCTGCTGACAGTTAAAATAGTTAATGCTTTTATTTCTGTCACAAGTTCTCCTTAAGTTTGGTTTGCACAGTTTTTTTTAAAAGCCCTGTTAACATTGTCTTTTAATATTCCCTGTGGAAACACCATAGACTGTATAAAAGATGGACGTAGCTACCGTGATGTCACCCGTTGGTTTTTGCACTGAGAAAATGAAGCCAGGGTTTTGCTGCTTCCTGGTTGACATCTTGGATTTTTGGAGCCAGTGACGCAAAAATCGTCGGAGGGGGCGGAGCCATAGGAGCAGCGATTGGTC